TCGGCCTTGGCCCGGCTGTGGCGCCTGCCTTGGGAGAATGGCAGGAAGGAGGTGTTCTGGAGGCTGGTATACGATGCCTTGCCCACGGCGGCCCGCATGCACCGGGATGAGCCCTGCCTGTGTGGTGCCTCTGGCCCCCGCCCTGACCGCCACCACCACTTCTGGGCCTGCCCTGTGGCCTGCGCTGTTGTTGCCGCTGTCCATGCGGCCCTGACTGCCGCTGCCCCAGCTGATGCCCCTCCCCCTCCCCTTGTCCCCGCCGACATCTGGCTTGCCCGCCCCCCGCCTGGCGTGCGCGCTGGCGCCTGGGGTGTGGTGTGCCTGGCCGCTGTGGAGGCCATGGACCGGGGCCGCCGCAGCCTGGCGGCCGAGGTGCTGCGCCGCCGTGGCGCCCCGCCAGCGCAGCCCGCCGGACCGCGCTTCACCCAGCTCACCCTCGACGGCTTCCTGCACCAGCCGGCCTCGCGGCCTGCTGCCGGCGCAGCCTCCTCCGGCGGCGGCACTCAGGACCCGCCGCCCCCGCCGCTGGAGCCGGCCGCGCCTGGCCCCGCAGCACCGCAGCCCGCAGCCACGCCACTGGAGGCTGCCCGCCGCGCGGCTCTCCAGTCCTTCTGGTCCCTTCTCGCTGATTTTGAGGCCCTGGGCTGTGCCCCCGCCTCTTGGGTTGACAGCCTTGGCCCTGCCCACCCCTTTTTCTTCTCTACCGGCGGCCGCGTTCGGCTCCGCCCCCCTCCTGTTCCTCCCCCTGCTTGATCGTCAGTCAGCTCCGCTGGCCCTTCCCCGCCTTTCTCCTGACTGTGCCCTCCTCACCCCTTTTCTCGTGTCTGTCTTCCCTCTTGCCCATCTTCTGCCTGCCTGCCCTGTGCCCGCCGCCTTGCTGCCGCGCTGCTCGCCTGCTGTGCCGGCTTGCATCTGGTTGCCTGTGCGTTGTCGGCTGCTGTGGTGCCCCTTGGCTGGCTATTGCGCCGTGCGAGGTGTGCTAGGAACCAGTGGAGGTGGTTGCGCTTTTCCGCAGTCGCGCCATCGGGGACCCGCCGGCGGTGTGCTGCAGTGCCTGTGCGCCTGTGCTTGCTCGTGCTCTGCTGTGCCTGCCGCGCTGCCGCTCGGTGTGCTTTCTCTGGCGTCCCCCTTTCTGGATGATGCAGCCCCGCGCTCTGTCTGTTGGTTGGTTTCGTATTCGTCCAGAGCTAGCGTGCACGGTTGTGTGTTCCCAGCCCTTTAAAGGGCCCGGTTCTCTGTAATCTCAGTCGGTCAGTCGGTCAGTCAGTCAAGTTCCGAGTTCGCTCGCGTCACCCTCAGCGCCCAGCTACCGCCCGGTATTGTTAGCCTCAGGTTTGTTACATTATAGTCTGTCTATGCCGCCCGGTATGAGCATTGAGGACGCCAAGCGGCTGGTGCTGCTGGCAGGGCGGGCCCCGGTGCTGTCCCGCCTGGAGCGCGGCCCGGATGCCAGCGGCCCCTCCTCCCTGAGCCCGTCGCCTCCCAGCCCTACCCTTGATGGCCAGCCGGCTCGGCGGCGGCGTCCCAGTGGCGGTGGGGCTCACATTCACCATGCGGCCGCCGCTCCACAACTGCTGGCTGGTGGCAACCCTTGCGCCCTACCCGTGCTGCTCGAGGCTTCTGATTGGATTGTTGCCGCACCTAACCCTCTGCTGCCGCCGTCTTCTTCTGCTTGCCTCCGCCGCCTGTGCTTCCAACCAAGCCTTGCGCTGCCCGCCGCAGCGCTGCGGCGATGTGCATTTCCAACGGGCCCAGTCACGTAGCAGAGGGATTGCGGGCCCAGCCAAGATCAGGCTCCTTGACAGAGCGGGACAGGCGCATGTTTGCCTCCTTCAGGCCTGCAGTGAGCCCCGGCTGCAAACACATGCGGCAGGACACTGCCGCCGTACTGCAGGGTGCCTGTGGACCAGGCTGCCCAGGGCCGTCCTCGCCAAATGATCAGGCTCATTTGACGGGTTGGCCGGTTTCAGCACCTCGATGAGGCGCAGCGAAGCGGCGCTGGCCGTACTCGCACTAGCCAGTGCGATTGTGTTTGGTCCCGCGCCGGCTAGCTGCAAGAGAAAGGATCAGAGCTTAGAAGATAAATTGGTAGCATGGGCGAAGGCCCGCGGCGCCAAGCTGGTGGGTCACCGGCTGCCGCTGCTGGGCCGCCTGGCCAGGCTCGTGGTGTGCACAGAGGCGGTCGACGCTGGAGAGGAGTGCCGCGCCGCCCGGTGCCCTGCCGACGCCACCCCCTTGCGGCTGCTGCCAACGCCGCCTCGCCCGCCGACGTGCCTGACCCCTGCCCACGCCGCCGCAGAACGGCTACAAGGCGGGGCGTCCGTGCGCCACCTGCGAGCGCGGTGCGTTTGCCACCAAGGACCTCAAGCCGGACGAGGTCATCGTGTCCCTGCCCTTCAAAGCTGTCCTCCGCCTCAAGTGCGCCCGCCCCGCCTTGCCAGAGAGCCCATTTACTGCGCAGCTGCGCTTGGCTGGCCCTCGCCCTGGCAGCAGCCCGCGCCTCCTGCACGGTCCCCGCCCACGACCCCCCAACCCCCGCCTTAAATTCAACTACCACACCCAACCGTCACCCCCCCGCACACGCGCACGTGGTGTGTACCGAACCCCACCTCCCCTGCCCCCGTGCCGCACCCGTGCCGCACCCGCAGGGACCTGGACCACGCCGCCTTCCCCGCCGAGTATGCGCGGCACCTGCTGGCGGCGATGCACAACGAACCCTCCCACAACGCCACCTGGGGGGTGTTCTGGGAGACGCAGCCGGGGCCCGAGGGCGTGTTCACTCCAGAGGTGCGGGGCGGGCCACGGCGGGGCAGCCCTGCACGAGCGGGCACGGCCCAGGGCTGGCAGCAGGGAGGCTGGCAGGAGGGAGGCGGCGAGGTGGAGGGAGCAGGGGCACGTGCAACGGCATGGGCAAGGGCAGGGCGGGAGCGCGCCGGCGGGCGCCGCGCGCCGGCGGGCGCAGCCCGGCACGCCGCCGCTCGCCCGCGCGGCGTCGCCCGACCCCACGCTGCGCCCGCTGCTGCCACGCTGCGCGGCTGCCGCGCCACGTCCCGCGGCGCCCGCCGGTCCAGGCTGAGCCCGGGCCTGCCGCCCCCCTGCCGCCTCTCCCTGCAGGTGTACACAGATGAGCACCTGGCACTGCTGCAGTGCCCAGAGCTGGAGGGCCTCGCCCGCGGGCAGCGCCACGTCACGGAGCAGATCTACGACGGGAGCTACCCGCACGGTGCGCGCACGAGGCGCCGGGCACACCTGGGACGTGCGCCCATGTGCTTTCCTCCCTGGGGGCGCGTTGCACCCCAGCCAACCCCCAGACATGCCAAGGAGGCCGTGCCTCCGCCTGCCGGCGTGCCTGGCTGCGCGCACCGGCGGCGCCGGCGCTGCGGCGGCACCTCGCAGCCACTGCCGGGCTGGGACGGCAGCCACGGCCCGACGTGGTGCTGCCCCGCGCCTGCCGGCCTGCCTGCCTGCCTGCCCACCTGGCCACCTGGCCGTCTGCCCACCTGCCTGCCTGCCTGTCCCTGCAGCCACGCTGGAGCCGTTTGTGAAGACGGTGCCGGCCGACAAAGTCTCACCAGACATCTTCAAATACGTGTCCAGCCTGGTGAGTGCTTGGAGGGGCGGGCCGGGAAGCTGGTGTCGCGAGGGGGAGGGTACAGATTGCCCCCGCTGGAGTGAAGGGGAAAAAGGTTGCCAGGGGGGGTGCTCGGCTAAGTGAGCCAGAGCGGGGCAGCGGGAGCAGGCTGCCGCAAGGCAGGCAGCCGGCCAGCCAGCCAGCGGGGCCTTGCCCACAGCCAGCCACCGCTCCTCCTGTCCCGCCACACCGCCCCCCTGCTTCGCCCCCGCTGCCCGCCCACCCTGCGCCGCGCCGCCACCACCAAGCCGCCCCGCGCCTTTGCCCCTGCCTGTGGCCCTGCCTGTGGCCCTGCCTGTGCCCTCCAGGTGGGCTCCCGCTACTTTGGGTTCTATCGGGACGCCGACAGCGAGAAGGTGGCCTCCCACCTGCTGCCGCTGCTGGATGCCATCAACCACGACGACGACCCCAACGCGTGGCGCTCGGGTGCGCCGGCCGGCGGCGCCGGGGCGGCGTGCGACGGTCGGGCGCGCGCTGCGGCGGGCGGGCGGCGCTGGGGCGGGCGCTCGCGTGGGTAGGACCCTGCCTGGTTGTGGAGGGAGGCGGCGAGCGACGGCCGGGAGCGTGTGAGCGCCCGGCTTGGGATGTGGGTGGGACGCACGGAGGCGCCGCCCTCGTCCCGCGCCGCCGACTGCCCCGCTTTCCTCACCCTCGTCCCGCCGACTGCCCCGTCCTGCCTGCCCTGTCCGGCCTGCAGACGACGGAGACAATGTGTTGATCACGGCGACCAAGCCGATCAAGAAGGGGGAGGTGCGTTCCTTTGCAGCGCCGCGCGCGTGTGCCTGCCTCTGTCCTTCGCTGCTGTTTTAAAATCCTGCCCAACTGTGTGGCTTCCCACCGGATCCTACTCTAGTTAAGGATCCCATCCTTTCCATCCTTCCCTTCCCTCCTCTTCCTTCGTTCCTTCCCTCCCTGTTTCCTCTGCGTTTTCTTTTTTCCAACACATGCCCCTTCCTTGCCTGCGTGTGCCCGCAGGAGATCACCTTCAACTACCAGCCCAACATCGTGCACCGCGCCGACATGTCGCTCTACATATACGGTGTGTGTGTGTAGATGTTGTGTGTGTGTGTGTGTGTGTGTGCCGACTTGTCGCTCTGCATATGGCGGTGGGCGGCGGCTGGGGCTGCACTGGCCCCTCATGCCGCCACAGCAGCCAGCTGCAAGCAGCCACCGCCACGCCATCCAGCCCAGCCATCCACCCATACACTCACCGGCCGCCGCTTGCCCTTGTTTAAAAATAAAATCAATGATTCGTGTGCCCGCAGGGTTTGTGATCCAGCGGGACCAGCCGCTGCTGTGCGCCGTGGACCTGCCCGGCTTTGACCCAAAGGACCCCTTTGGGCCCACCCCTCAGGACGATGCCGATTACGGTGGGCTGCTGGGCTGGGAGGGGATGGGATGGGAGGGCAGGGCAGGGCAGGGCAGGGCAAAGCAGCCTTCGGCGGCTGCAGACGCCTCAGTGTCCTTGGCTGGCTGCCGGCAAGACGCACAGCGGCGGCGGCCCCGCACCCCGCAAGCTTGCTGCACCCCCTGATGGTCCCGCCGGCGCCCCCACCCCCACCCCGACCGCCCCGACTGCCTGCCCGCTGCAGAGCTGGGCGGCAAGCTGGCCACCCGAGCGGAACTCGACCGGCTGTCGGCCCGCCTGGCGGCGGCAGGCACCAGCGAGGCCGAGGATCAGGCGCTGCTCCAGAGCGGCACCGTCACAGGTGCGGCGGCGGCGCCGCGACGGTTGTGTCCTGTACCTGAAAGCTTCGTCATCGGCCAATGCCCCCGGCTGCCACGCGACAGCCTCTCCCTGCATGAAAACACACGCCCTCACACATATGTGACACCCCTGCCCCCGCAGACTGGCGGCACAAGGCGATACTGGAGTTTCGGGTGATGCGCAAGCGCGCGCTGCGGCAGACCATTGCCAAGCTGACGGCAGCGCTGGGCCTGGACGGCGGCGGCGCACCCGAGCTGGCGCAGCAGCGGGACGATGAGGATGAGGACGATGATGAAGAGGAGGTAGAGGCGCCCAGGGATGAGCTCTGATCCCTGCCTTGCAGCAGAGCTCGAGGAAAATCTTGGACTGGCTGGTGGCCTTGCATTGAACCATACTGTCCCACATTCTTTTCCATCTCTGATTTGTATGCTTCACAGCACCACCTTGGGCGCTGTGCCCTGCCCCCCGCCTGGGTTGGCAGGCCATCTCGCAGCGCGACCTGACCTCCCATCCGTCGCCACGTGCCTGCCTGCTGCTCTCCTGCGCTCTGTGCGGACCCCTGGCTTGCTAGCTTCCTCCCTTTCGCCCATCTCCCCCGCTGCTGCCAAACTGCCATGGTTCGGTCCCCTCCTTTCTCAGAATTGCCTCAACGCCATTGTCAAACTACCAATCAAGCTGGCTGATTAAGTTACAGGCTGACGGCGATTCGGTGGGGTGGGAACATGGCAGTTGGTGGAGGCCAGGGCACCGCTGCGAAGCATGCGGGCGGGTCGGGAGGCCCTCGGGGCCTGCTCCCGCCGCACCACGCACGCCGCAGCGCGCTGCATGTGCCGCCGGCGTGCGCTCGAGGCGGCAGGCTGGCAGTACACAGGGTGGGAGTGTGCAGTACATGGGAGGGCTCGGGCGCAGCCGTGCGGCTCAACCGCGCTGCGTTAGGCTCCCTCATGGGGCTGCGCCTCGCCCCGCTGAGCGGGCAGGAGGCCGGTCGCAGCTTTGCCTAGGGAGCTACCCTACTTGTAGCCAAACAGCGGGTCGGGGCCCCAGGGGAAGTCCTTGACTGCACAGGCAGGGAGCAGCAGCGCACAGTAGGCGGCCGTGTCAGCCGCAAGTTACAGCCCAGCTCTGCACGCCTGCCGCCCTCCCCGGCTGGTGTTGCAGCCGGGCCGCTGCCATGCATGCTGCCGCCGCCCGCGCTGCACTTCGTGCCGCTGTTGCTGCCACGGTTGCTGCAGCTGCAGCGCCAGCCGATGTTGCTGCGATACCAGCACAGCAGCCCGTCGCTGGCCAGCCAGGCACAGCCGCCCTGGCGGCTCACCCTTGTAAAGCATATAAGGGTAGTTGGGCGCGTGGCGGTGGTGCGTGTGCGCATTGCTCAGGGTGAGCGCACCCAGGCCTGCGGCAGCGGCAGCGGCAGCGGCAGCGGCACCGTGACGTGAGCGGCAGCGGCAGTGTTGTGGCGCATGCAGAGGCAGCAGCAGCAGGGCCGCGAGAAGATGCAAGCAGCAGCGCGGCCTGCACCGCTGCGCCTGGTGAATGCATGCCAGAAACAGCTCGGCGGCGAGGCGAGGGCATGGCTCCCGCGGGCAGTGTGTGCTGCTGTGCCTGCTCACCCACGCACACCGGGATGCAGCCAAAGGAGATCATCTTCCACCTGCAGAAGAGTAAATTAATTAAAAGGGCTTGCTTGGGAAAGGAGCAGCAGGAGCAGCACCGCCGTCCAAGCCACCAATAGGGGCGGCGGGCGGGGCGGCGGGCACCCAGCGCTGGCTACAGGCGGCTGTCGGGCGGTGCTGGCTCCCCGGTGCCCCTGACATGACTGCCTCAGTCATCCTCAGGGCCCAGCAGGCCGTCCCCCGAGAAATCTCCGCGCACTTGTTGGCCTCCTTCTGTGCGTGGGCCGCCTCCTTCTCCACCTCGGCGATGGCGTCGGTGGCCATGCGCCGCACCTGCTGCGAGGCAGTGCGGCCCGCCCGGGCAACCGAGGTGCGAAGGGAGCCCAGCATAGTGTGTGCCTCCCCGCGCGTCAATCCAAGCCCCGATGGCAGTGGATGCGATCGCACACTCGGCTGGGGCGGTGGAGCCTTGGGTTCTTCCGGCGGGGTGCCCATGCGGTGACGTGCGGCGGAGTGGAAAGGCGAGGACAATGGGCGTGTTTTGCTTGGCTGGAGGCCTGGTGGCTATTTGCAGAGTCTCCCTGGACCGCAGGGCACGAGTCCCAGCGCCGCTCGCCCCTCCTTGGCGCAAAGCATCGGCAAGCGATCGGGAAGCTGGCTGACAAGAGGTGCTTTTGCCTCCCAGAGCCTGCTGCCATGCCACCGATGCGATCCAAGACTCCTGGGGCCTGACCGCCTGCCGCAGACGGCCCGGCTGCTCACTACCGCTGCTGCCGCCGCCACCGCTCACCGAAACTGCTGCCTTCTCCAGGTCCCTGCGCCAGGCCATCAGTGCAGCCAAGACAACATGTTGGGACAACTAAGTTTCACGCTGCCTCTGCTCATGTGAGCCTCGCCGTACCGTGGCTGTGGCAGTGCCGCCGGCCATCCTGGCTCCTCGCTCTGCCACCACCATCGCCCGATGCTGCGCCTGCTCTCGCGCCCAACAGCTTTTGTTGGCCTGCTCCCGGCCACGTCGTCCCGCCCACCGTTTGCGCCTGCCCCCTTACCTGCCTCGCAGCATCCTGGTTCTGGAGACGGCGGTGGGGGCGCTGCTGCTGTGCCCCAAGCCCTTCAACCAGCCGTCCATCGCACTGGCACGAGCCACACACACCCAGATTGGCGCTACCGTCTTCTACACTCTGGCGGGCGTGCTCACCCTGCTGATGGCCTCCCCGCTGTACGACGCCACCCAGCTGTACCACGCCACGCGGGACAAGACCGACGCGGTGGCGGCCGCCCTAGACACCACGTGCGAAAGGGAGAGTTTTGTCAACAGCTGCGTGTTTGTGGGGCTGGCCGCTGCCGCAGCAGATGCGCCGGTGGCGCAGCCGGCGGCGTGGAGAGCGCGCTGCCTGGCGGCCGCAATCCACGTCCGCAGCCAGGCAGCCACACGGCGGCGCGGCGGGAAGTCGCGGCGGGCACGCCCTCCCCGCCGCTTCCGCTCCCATCCGCCGCGCGTGCGCGCTCTCGAGGATCATTCCAACACCTGCCCCCCTGCTGCCGCTGCCTGCTGCCCACCCTTGCAGGGAGCACGAGGCGCGCACGCTGCTGTCCTTCACCCTCACCGCCGCCTGCCTGGCCCAGATGTTCTTCCTGCGCAGGCTGGGGGCGGTGCTGGGCCAGCTGGAGCGCATGAGCGTCAGCGAGGCGGCCATGCTGAAGCAGGTGGGCAGGAGTGTGCGAGTGTGTGTGCATGTGTTGTGTGTGTGTGTGTGTGTGTGTGTGGCATGAGGGAGCAACGCCTGTCCCGCATGTACCGCAGGTCAAGGGGCTGCAGTCGGAGTACGCCCGCATGGCCGGCAGCGCCGGCGCCGCCGGCGGTACCGCCGAGGAGGCGGCGGCGCAGCCCTCGGGCCCCCCTGGTGCGGGCAGGCTGAGTGATGATGAGGTTGGGGAGCTGCGCCGCTTGGTGGCCGACCTGGAAAGGATGAACAGCGAGCTGGGGGTGAGCCGCTGCGGTATGTTGTGTTGTGTTGCGGGTGAGGTGTGGATGTGGAGGCGGGCTGGGGCAGCGCGCGGGAACAACCGTGGAGCTGAGCACCCGGCCCCCGCGCTGCCTTCCATTACCTGCCTGAGTGCGCCCCGCTCCTTCCTGCTGCCTGCTCTCCACCCCCGGCCCATCTCCCCCTGCAGGCTCGGCTGGAGAAGGCCAACAAGGCCCACTCCCTGGCGGAGAGCAACCTTTCGGCGCTGAAGACGCAGAGCAAGGGGCTGGAAAACGAGTACGACAGGTGGGTGGGTCAGCGGGGGCGGTACGGGGGTTGTGTTGCATCATACTGCTGGCAGGAGTGCTGGGAGTGATGCAGGTGTGGGGGTTCTGCTGGGAATGGCGGCGGGCGAGGCAGGGCCCCATAAATGGCGCCAGCGGGCCTGCTGCCACTTCTGCCACAGTCGTGGCGACACGATACGCACACGCATTGCTACCTCAAGGCCCACACGCACACCAACTCCCTCGCCCTCCACCCCACACCCTGCCCTGCCCCAGGCTCCTGTCCGAGCATGATGAGCTGCGGCGGCAGCTTCAGCGCGCGGGGCTGGCGGCTGGCGGCGCTGCCGACAGCCGCATGGGAAAGAAGGACGAGTGAGGCGGCTTCGGGACGGCCAGGCCCGCCCTCGTGTGTGTGTCCAGCCGAGCAGCACAGCCCGAGCATATGCATGTGTTTCTTGTGTACAGCCGCGCTTTGGCAGCAGGAGCAATTGGGCGCCTGCCCTGTACAGCTGCCTGCCTCTCCGGCATCACTGTGTTCATGAGTGCCTTTTGTTGAGTTGTGACCAGTTGGTGACTTTACAGGATCAATCTCTAAGGAGAATGCTTGATCAGTGCCGGTCTGTTGGCAGCAAGTAGTGCCCTACGCTATTTACCAGGCTGCCCCAACGCGGCACGGCTGTACAGGCTGGGTCAGTGTGTTGGGATGCTGGCAGGTGAGCCACGCCTAATCACGGCAGTCAGGCAGGCAGCATAGATATGTTGCACTGCAGAAGCGGCATGCCGTCATCACTTGCAGAAACCGTCGTTGTCAACCTCATCAAGGATGCACTTGTTGCTGCAGCAGTGGCTCTCGGCTCCCTGCACCGCTGGGTTGCAGGCATTGCCTGCAGGCCGGTAGTGCCAGGGTCAGACATTAATACCCGGGGCGATCAGGCCAGCCGCCTGCAAGGAGTGGAATGGTCTCAACAGCGGTTCCTGCGTCGCGCCCTCACATACGTGGCTCGGTGCATGTGCGGCCGGGGCAGTAGGTCAGAAACTCCAGCGCAATCCAGGCCTCCTGGTCCTTAAAGCTGACCTGGGACCAGCTGTGGCCACACTTGCCGTGGCGCTGCCTGCCGGTGTGGTGCACCTGTAGGGCCAGAGGCAGGCAGATGCGGCATGCGGCTTGGGAGGCAGGCGCCGGCCACTGTGGGGCAGGTGGAGGTGGGGTAGGGGAACCGCCATGGCGCTGTGGTGCTCGGCAGAAGGAGCGGCGGGCACACTTGCTGCGATGGGCACACCAGCCCGCCGCCCACCCGGCTGCGCTCACCTTGTCTCCCTCGTTCACCACTCCCAGGATCTTGGTGTCGGTGCAGGGCTTGTCCCTCACGTTCACGCCGTCGCCTGTCACCTGGCGGCCGAAGGTGCCGTCGCTGAAGTCGTCCAGCAGGCGGCGGCCGCCATCTCCCGCGGCGGAGGTGGCGGTGGGCCGGGCACCAATTGGGTTGCAACCGCCAGGCCGCTGAGCAGCGACGCCGCGCAGGCAGCAGCCAGCGCCATGGCAGCCCAGGAGCGCATGCTTGCTGCGGTAGGGCCTGCGACAGAGCGTGCGGGATGGGCTGGATAAGCAAGCGGCTCAGAGGTGGGGCAGGTCGCAGGCAGGCACAGCGCAGGTGGGAGGGAGGTAGACAGCTCAAGGAAGGGCCTGTTTGCTGGGTTACCTGTGAGGCAGGGCGTGCTGCCGCTTGAACCTGAGTGCAGCTGTTCAGTACACAGGACCGGGTGCTGCGGTGCCTGCTCAACTTCCCCCAAAGGTGGGCTGCTTGCAAAAGCTGCTCTTCCACATACGCGGGCCTTAAAAGGCACTGGGTGCCTTGGATGGTACTGCAGTCCACGTCGGCCTCCATTCCCCCTTCCATGCAGCACTACCCACAGTGCCCCTCGGACTGCCGCTGAACTGCCTCGGATTGCCGCTTGCACGCCTGGACAGCCAGCCAACGGGCTGTGAGCCCCAACAACCCCAACAGCCTGCAACTTGCTTCCCCTCCCTCCCCCTCTCTCTGCACTGCTCCACCATGCGCTCCTGGGCTGCCATGGCGCTGGCTGCTGCCTGCGCAGCGGCGCTGCTCAGCGGCCTGGCGGCCGGCGCCCGGCCCACTGCCACCTCCGCCGCGGGAGATGGCGGCCGCCGCCTGCTGGACGACTTCAGCGACGGCACCTTCGGCCGCCAGGTGACAGGTGGCGGCGTGAACGTGAGGGACAAGCCCTGCACCGACGCCAAGATCCTGGGAGTGGTGAACGAGGGAGACAAGGTGAGCGCAGCCGGGTGGGCGGCGGGCTGGTGTGCCCATCGCAGCAAGTGTGCCCGCCACTGCTCCTGCCAAGCACCACAGCGCCATGGCGGTTTCCCTACCCCACCTCCACCTGCCCCACAGTGGCCGGCGCCTGCCCACACCCAAGCCGCATGCCGCATCTGCCTGCCTCTGGCCCTACAGGTGCACCACACCGGCAGGCAGCGCCACGGCAAGTGTGGCCACAGCTGGTCCCAGGTCAGCTTTAAGGACCAGGAGGCCTGGATTGCGCTGGAGTTTCTGACCTACTGCCCCGGCCGCACATGCACCGAGCCACGTATGTGAGGGCGCGACGCAGGAACCGCTGTTGAGACCATTCCACTCCTTGCAGGCGCCTGGCCTGATCGCCCCGGGTATTAATGTCTGACCCTGGCACTACCGGCCTGCAGGCAATGCCTGCAACCCAGCGGTGCAGGGAGCCGAGAGCCACTGCTGCAGCAACACATGCTTTGTGGACGTTGGCAAGGACGGTTTCATCAATGAGGAAGGTTTCTGCAAGTGATGGCATGCACCTGCTGACACATTCCCATCCTTACGTTGCCGTCGCACAGAGATCCCACATACAGCAGCAGCAGCTTACGGCCGAGGCATTGCCTGCGCTGTAAAGCAGAGCCACCCAGCTGCCTGCCTGTTGAACACCGCTGCGCTCACGAGTGCCTTGGCTGCGGGCCTGCCTGTTGAACACCGCTGCGCTCACGAGTGCCTTGGCTGCGGTTTACATGTGATCCGTTGTACATGATGAAGCGATAGGAGAGAAGCATGCACGTCACAGGCAGCGTTCACTCAGTTTGTTTCACTTGAATGGCGATCCAAGCACCGCAAGGCCCCTGCCTGTACAGTGACGGCTGCTGGTTGACTTGTGCTGCAGTTTGCTGCGTCTTTCGCCACAATGCTCTCATGAACCCTGCTTCCCTGCTTCTCTATGGCCTGCCGGGCCGCCCCGCAGTGGAAAGATCCCTTGGGGTAGGTGGTCCCGGTGCAGTCCCCGGCTGCCTGCCGCTGCTCTATTCTGTGAAGTCTAGAAGGTTTGGGATGCGCACCAGGTCTGCGGCAGCAGGCGCAGCAGGCGCAGCAGGCGCAGCATGGCGGCGGGGTGTCAGGCAGGGCCAATGCCAGCAGCCGAGCGTGTGTTGTGTCTGCAGCAGCAGCAAGCCCTCTGCGAGCAGGGCGCTCCCCATACTCGGATGCGCCCCTGGCCTGGCCCCAGCGGGCTCCCATGCACGCAGAGCTGCTGTGCAGCCTGCTCATGGCAGCCCCAGCACAGGTGCACACTGTATAGCAATCGGCATCTGTATAACACACACACACACACACACACATCCTATACCCTACTGCGGGTATACCAGCAGACTCACCCGAGTCCCAGGAGTCTATCAGCTCCAGGCGCAGGCTGGGCGCCAGGGACGCCTGCAGCGCCAGCACGAAGCGCATGGTGCTGATGGAGAAGTGCAGGCCGCGCCCCTCCACCGCTACGATGTTGACTTGCTGCGGGTGGTTTGGGGGAGGTGGATGTGGGAGATGGACGGAGGGTGGCGGTGGTGGTGGTGGTCATGGCGGGAGGGACGAGGGATGCGGGGAGCGGGGGAGGTCAGCGGCAGGTGGGGCAGGTGGGGCAGGTGGCTGGTCGCCCAAGTGCTGCTCTGCTCTTCCACTGCTGTGCTTCGCCCGCACGCGGGCTGGCCGCTGCGACCGAGGCGCTCCTCCCTCGGCACAGCCTGCCCCCCTCGCAGTGGCCAGCTGCAGGCGGCGGAAGGTGCCCTGGCGTGTGCCTGCCTAGGCAGCCCTGGCCCCACCCCCTTACCTTGAGGGAGGGGTGGCGCAGCAGCACCGCCGTCAGCTCCTGCGTCCGCTCCTCCACCTGCCCGTCTGGCACGTCGCTGCGCAGCGGCCGCGCCAGCGTCAGCATCTGCACCAGAGCACCGGACAGCCCGGCCGGCGACAGTCACAAAGCAGCGTGCCCATCAGCGCTCCGGGCAGCCTCCAGGCGCCGGCAGGCAAGACCTGGGCACGAGTCGCAGCTTTTCTGCTCTCTTGTGGGCCCTCCTTGCACGCAGTACTCCGCTCCCTCCCTCCTCCCACCCAGTCCCTCCCCCTCTCCATGCCTCCATCTCTCCGCGCCTCCCTCCCTCCCTCCTCGCAACCGCTCTCTCAACGCCTCCCTCCCTCCGTGCCGTCCTCCTCCACCCCCTCCCTCCCTCTGCTCCCTCCCTCCACCCACGCTCGAACTCCCTCCGCGCCGCCCCTCCCTCCACGCCCCCCCCCCCACCACACACACACACCTCCATGACCGCGCAGTGCTCCAGCATGGCCGCAGACTCAAAGGCCACATCCCAGTCCACGCACAGGTGGCGCAGAGACTTGCAGTAGGGGCCCGACGACAGCGAGACCACGGGCGTGCTGGTAACAAACTGCGGCGGCAGCAGCAGCAGCAGAAACATAGGAACGCAACCTTGGGCTGGCTGCTGAGCGGCAGGCCTATTTGTGTGTAAACGCAAATGCGCCGGGGGGCGGGGTGGGGCAGGCATGGGGCAGCGCAGGCTGAGCGGCGTGGGGTGGGAGGCAGTCGAGACAGCCAAGGTGGAAGGCAGCGTGAAGGCTCAGCGGTCTGGGGTGCCCCCCGGGCGCCCAGACAGCGGTAACTCAAGCCAAGCAGCAACGCAGGCTTCCCTGCCAGAAAAAAAGGAGGCGGCCACCCACCAGCCGCTCTAGCTTGCCCATGCGGCGCACCGCGTCCGGCAGCAGCACGTTGCACTGGCTGATGACCAGCACCTGCAGGAAGGAGGGCCAGGCGCAGGCGGCGGGTAGGCAGGAGGCGCCGCAAACACACACTTCAGCAAAGGGGTTCGGGAGCCCAGCCCCCCAATGCAGGCAACGTAGCAGCAGCAGCAGCAGCAGCAGCAGCAGCAGCAGCGCAGCGTTGGCTGCGCGGATCCAAAGGCCACAGAGGCTCCACCTGCCTCCTGCGCCGCTCGGCGACCCGGCCCGCAGGCCGCAAAGTTGAGGCCCCGCCCGTGGGCGCCGCCCTCCCACCCACAGCCCCACCCGCCAGCCCGCGCTGCTCTGATGGTGACACCACTCCCCAGCCCCGCCCGCCAACTCAGCGTGGCCCCGCCAGCCAGTTCAGCGTGGCCCCGCCCGCCAGCTCAGCGTGGCCCCAAATTCCAGCTCAGAGCGGCCCCGCCCGCCAGCTCGGCGCACCTTCAGGTTGCGCAGCGTGCGCAGCGCGGCCTCCAACATCTCCCCGTCCTCCTCCTCCGCGTCCTCCCGCTCCAGATTGCCCCCCATGTGCAGGATGCGCAGGCGGCGCAGCGAGGAGAGCTCCGTGGGCACCTGCGGAGCGCGGGTGCGCCATGGGCATAACGTTATGCCATAGACATAAGCAGGGGCATAACCTTATGCCATAGGCATAAGCAGGAAGCTTCTTTCCAAGCCAGGAAAGCCACCCCACGCGGCAGGCCGGCAGGCCGGCGGGAGAGGCCGGGGCTGCCGCCACACGCAGCCTCCCAGAGCCTCCCAGAGCCCGCGAGCTGGGCAGGCCCTGAATGGAAGGGCAACAGGCGCACAGCCCCATTCAAAAACACACACATGCACACGCAGCCACACGCCAACCTCGCCCCCACGCCCTTGACACCACCACCTCCCTCCCTCGCGCGTCGCACGTGCAGCCGCCGCCGTATGGCGGCCACACACCGTCACCAGGCGGCAGTTGGCCAGCTTCAGGCACTCAAGGCCGGTCAGCGCCGAGAGCGCCGACGTCTCTATGCCCTCATCGTCCACAAACGTGTTCTGCGAGAGGTCCAGGGAGCGCAGCTGCGGAAGGCACGGGAGCACGCGTTTTGCTGTAATTGGCAGTCATGAACTTGGCGGAAGAAAGGTGATGGCAAGGTATCGCGAGCGCGTGCGCGGGCAGGGCGGAAGGCAGGGAGGCGCAGCGGCGGGTGAGCGGCCGCGGCGGGCTGGGGCAGCAGGTGTGCCGGACCAACAGCAAGAAGCAGCAGGCAGGCAGGCAGGCAGACAGGCGGGCGGGCAGGCAGGCGGGAGCAGCTGCAGGCAGGAGCAGCGGCAGGCAGGTGCCGCGGTAGGCAGGCAGAGCAGCAGCAGGCAGGCAGGCAGCAGCAGGCAGACGGGCGGGCGGGCACCCGCGCACCTTGGACAGACGCGTGATGCAGTCGGGGACGGTTGCCAGGCAGCAGTGCTCCAGGGACAGGTGGGTGATGCCGGGGGGCAGGCAGGCGGGCGCCTCCACCTCCAGCTCCTGGTTGTTGCTCCCAAACTCCAGCTCCCGCAGCCGCGCCAGCTTGCCCAGCCCCTGCTTCACGTGCACGTCGCCGCCGATGAAGCAGGCGGTGACGAGGCCCTGCAGCGCAGCCGCCCACTGGCCCACCACCAGGCACCCGGGCGTCTCCAGCGTCAGGTGGCGCAGGCTGGACCGCACCGCCATCATCGCCGCCGTCAGGTTGGACATCACGCCCACCACAAAGTCGCTGGTGGGGGCCTGCGGGGCAGGGCGGCAGGGAGAGGGAACTCGGCCGGGGCGGCAGCGGGGCAAGGGACAGCGCAGGGGAGCGCTCGGGCGGGGCGGCAGGGTGAGGGAGAGCAGCGGAGGAGGGCTGGCTGGCGGGACAGGGGCTGGCGTGCTGCACGGGCATGCAGCAAGGGCCCTGCACCCTGCCGGGGCCCTGCCGAGGGAAGCGGAACTCGCGGGGCGGGGCAGGCCTGAGGGCCCCCCTCTCTCTCTTTCTCTCTCTCTCACACACACACACACACAAGCAGCCCCGCTCTCACCGTGGCTTCCTGGATGTCGACTGTGAGCGAGTCCACTGCTGAAGCCCGCGGCAGCAGCCAGGACAGGAATGCCTCCGCTGTGCCCTCGTCATCGTCGGACGGAAGGATGAACTTGACGCTGGTCCACAGAGAGGGCGACAGCGTGGCCTCCCGCCAGGAGCGGCACACCTCCGCGGCGTGCACGCTGCAGGGAGGGTGGGGGGAGCGGGGCGTCTGGGCGGGGAGCGAGTGCGGCAGCGGCGGCGCGGCGGGATGGTGGCGGGCGGCGGGCAGCCCCGGGGGATCGCCGGCGGATCGCGAGGGTGGTCGATGCGGCGGGGGGGCCGCTGCGGAGCGCTTGATTGAGAGCGGGACGGCACATCGACACGCAACTCAGGCACCATGGCCGCCATGCGCTCCCACTCACCGGTGCGTCTGCGACAGGTGAGTCAAGACCTGCACCAGGATGCTGGGTGGCAGGGAGTCGACCAACGAGGAGACCGCCTGGCTGCTTGCCCGCTGGCCTCTGGCCCGCACAGCCCTCGGCGCCATCGCCTGGTGCTCTCGATCCAAGCACAGGATGCGCGGTGTAGGGGTGATCGCACTGCCTGCAGATGCAGCCGCCACAGGGGTATCACCACCCCCCAGCTGGCGGCGGCAGCGTGGCAGCATGGGCGGGGCGCCCATTGCCATGCCCCCCATGCATCTCCTCCCTTAACACAGATGGCTCCAGCAGACAGGAAACGTCATGGGCGTTACACAGTAGCCAAGTATGTGCTTGCAGCAGAGGAAGGGCGCTTGGGGCGCCGCCGCCGGTTCGGCCCGGCAGCGCTCGGTCACCGCCCCACCCAGCAGCTTGCAGTGCCGAGCCTGGCTGGCTCCACTATTCCACGGGTTCAAGCGCCTCCAACGTGACCCCGAAGAACTGTTCTGAGTCCAGAGCCTCCACCTGCAGCCCCGGGCACCGCTGCCCCATCTGCAGCATCAGCTGCATGACCTCGACGCTCGCAACCTCCTCGCTCTGCAGGCGCACAGCCGGGGCGGGGTGGCAGCAAGCGGGGCTGGGCTCGGCGAGGGCGCGCGGCAGCGGGCTGGCTGCCAGCCGTGGCCCTGGAGGCGGCACGGCGCCTGCAGCGACAGGCTGGCTCGGGGCTCGCGGCTGCCGCGGCAGCGGGACAAGCAGCACCCATGCATGCCCGGCGGCTTGCCTGCGTCTGCACAACAAACGTGAGCTTCTGCAGCGCCTTCATGGCCGCCAGAGCCTCCAGCACTTCCTCCACCGGCGTCAGCAGGGCGTGCCACATCAGCCCGCTGCCGCTGCAGCGCCAGACATGGGGCGAGGGCGCATGGAGAGGGGCTAGGCGGCCTCAGCATGCAGCGCCGACCTGCCTGCACCTCCAACCTACGCCCAACCCTACACGCCCCTCCACCTTCACCACCCTCCACCTCCAGCCGCCCAGCGCTATTCCAAACAGGCACAGCACTGTCCCAGTGTCCCTCAGCGTGCACAGCAGGCAGATAACTGTACTGTGCATGCTGCGGCTGTGCCCCACCTGACATAAAGGTGCTCCAGCAGCGCTGCCTGCCGCAGCATGCCCGGGTTGCTGAACAGCACAGTGCAGTCGCAAGACAGCACCCGCAGCCGGGCCAGCACCGGCGCCGCCGCCGCCGGCAGCCGCGCGATTCCTGGGTTGCACTCTGCAGGCGCGGCAGCGGGAGGTTGTGGTGGGAGGGAGGACGAGGGCAACGAGAATGGTGGGCAGATCAGTCGGCGTGCTGAGGAGAGCTGCGCCCTGGCAGCAGCGGGCAGCCAGCGCCAGCAAGGGCTCTCCGTGGCGGCGTGCAGCCGGCTTGAGCCAGGCGGCTGCGAGCACCCACCCAGGTAGAGCACTTGCAGCTTGGCCAGGGAGGACAGCACCTCGGGCCAGGACTCCAGCAGCAGGTGGCTAAGCCCCAGGGCCTGCAGGCGCATCAGCGGGGCCAGTGCCGAGCTGAAGCCCGCCTGGATGGGGACCTCGGACTCGATGCCGAAAGGGTTGTAGTCCAGATACCTGCAGCGGTACCGGCAGTACCGGCAGTACCGCACGAGTTTCAGCACGACATCACCGCCAGGCCAGCACCGTCGCCATGCCAGCGCACCGCGCAGCGGCTGCAGCGAAGCAATGGGAGGGACCCGGCCTGGCCACGCAGCAGCGGCGGTGACGGGTCCGGCTGTGCATGTGCAGCGCGCAGGGAGCTGCGTGCGGGAGTTGTGCGTGTGGTGCGCCGGGACTCACAGCACGCGCAGCGTGGTCACCGCGGACAGCTCTGGCGGCGGGCGCTCAAAGGAGCAGCCGATGAGCGAGATGAGCTGCAGGCGGGGCAGGCCCGCTAGGCGGGTCAGCGAGCTGGGCAGCAGGGGATTGCGGGAGAGGTAGGCGGACTCGAGGTGGGGCAGGCAGGACACGGCCTCTGCACAGCAGGTGCAGCGTGGGGACCGAGTCGGCGCCTTGGTGGCAGAAGTGGAAAGCAGCCAGCCGGGCGTGGACAGCAGGTGCAGCAAAGGCAGGTGGCAGGGGCCAGGCACGGCCCAGCAAGCGACAGTGAGGTTTCCCGCGGAGGTGACCGCCGCCACGGCGGTGGGGGCATTGCCCTGCGGCTGGCTGCGGCGGGTGGCACGGGGAGTGGCAGGCCGCCAGGTCAGCGGCCACGTCAGCAGCTGACCTGGCAGCTCGGCCAGGCGGCACTCCACAGCATATAGCTTGGTGAGGCTGGGCGGCAGGGTGGCCGCAGACTGCACCGTCAGCGGCCCATCGCTGCTCTCCGCGCTCAACTCCTTCAGCTGCAGGCGGCGTGTGGGGTCGATTAGTGAGCACAAGCGTTGTGCAGGCGACAGCCCTGCTGCTGCAGCGCCAGTACAGTGGGCTGGGCAAGGCTGCATGCCCGGCAGGCCGCCAAGAGGCGCACGAAGCAGTCCGGGCGGCGGGCATGGGGCAGCGCTCACCTCTGCCAGGGAACCCAGAGCATCGGTGAGGGTGAGTTGGCCGCAGAACAACGCCAGCTCTTGCAGGTGTACTGCCTCCAACAGCCACACGCCTGGAAAAAAGGGCCGCAGGGTGAGGTGGGTCTGGGCGCTGCCGGCCCCGAGGGAGCACAGTCGAGCGGCTGCAGGTTTGCGATGGCCAGGCCTGGCCGGCACAAGGGCCCCCACCTGCCACTGCTGCACCGTCCCATCGGATCGTCAGAGAGGTGAGCGAGGGCGCCACCAGCGCGGCCGCCGCCACGACGTCGCCCCAGCGAGGCGGCTGATGATCGGGATGCCACGATCCCTGAAGCGGCACCATGGCGCCGGCGGGTGGCCGCCACGCAACCAGCCTGAGCCCAGTAAGGCGCACGCCCAGCCCGCCGGCGACAGCAGCGGCAGCACAACACAAGAGGCTGCTGCGGGACCCACATGCAGGACGAGCGTGGTGGGCGTGCACGTGCAGCGGCGCCGCCAGGCCTCAAAGCTCTGAAGCCCGGCGGCGCTGCTGAAGCAGACCACGAGGGTGGTCCAAAGGGAAGCGCCGTGGGTGCGGGTCGCGGCATACAAGTGCTTGCACACCAGCGACAGCGCGACCCTGCAGCAGGTGTGGCGCCAGCCCGTGGTGGGCAGCTGCTGTGAGTAGCAGGGTCACAGAGGCCGCCAACACCGCCGCCGCCGCCAGCTGACGCTTTCCGCCCTTTGCCTCGCACCTTTGGGAGACGGGCAGGTAGCTGGCTATCCTCGCGCCCCAGACCTCAGCCGGCACGTCCGTTACGCACGGCGTCCCGCCGCGATGGCGCTCTTGGGAAGCCATCACAGCAGAGGCTCCTGGAAAGGCAGAAAGCAGAAACAGTCCCGCGGCTTCGAATGCGATCAGCGGCTCTGGCCATGGCGGCGTTTCTTCAATACCTTCCCCACCGCCCGTCGGCAGCGCAGCGTGAGGGGCGGTGTTGGGTGGCAGCTCGTCCGAGATGAATAGCAAACTCGCTTCCCTCATAGCAGCTGCACATGACGTGTCATGCGTTTTGTGAGGGGGCTTGGAAGTGCAGTGTGGCAACTTTCAGCGGCACAAGCGCCGACCTCTGTGGCGCTGACCTCTGGGTCACCTCTGTCTGATGTCTCAATGGTGTTACAAAATCCCATGCAAAAAATAATGTGTTGAAGTAAAGCACATTGTTTGTGGAGCATTGCAAAGAGCCATAATGGGCTGGCTTATTGAACAAAGATTTGGGAAGGAATATGCATGGAAATGGTGGCAGGACAGAGCGGCAGAGCAAGCGACAGCAGAAAGGTGCAGCGTGCAATTGAGTCAGGGAGGGGGTGACTGTGTATCAAGCACCAAAAATGCAGTGTATTTCGTGGTCTTCTCTTCGAATGCACGCTAGTGCACACAAGACATGACTGGAACAGCGGTTGAAGAGCAGCGCACCCAGCAGCGGGGGCTGAATGCCCGCCTGCCAGGCGCCGCTGGCATGATGCTCAGCGGCTGGTGGGCGGCAGGTTCTTGGTGTTGTCCCAGCACAGCTTCTGGCCCGTCTTGCGGGCGGTCCACAGGCCGGTGGTGCACTTCTTGCACTTGTTCTGGCCGACAATGTCGGTGTATGACTGCGGCAGCAGGGAGGCAAAGGTGCAGAGGCTGTGTGAGCAGGCAGCAGGAGGGTGGGGAGGCGGACAGGCATTCACACCATCGCAGCCAGCCAGCTGCTGCCAGCGCCACTCACGTTGATGGGGCAGGCGGCGCAGTCGTTGGGTGTGATGGAGGACAGCTTGGTGCCATACTTGCCGGCGGGGCAGGCGGAGGGTTTGACCATCTTGGAGGCCTGGCAGTAGCTGCCAGCGGGGCAGGGCTTGCAGGCGCGCTGGCCCTCGTTGTCCTGGTAGGTGCCGCCCTCGCAGGGGATGAAGCCGTCGTTGCCGGTGCCGGGGGCGTAGTTGCCCTTGGGGGCGGGCAGGCACGACTCCAGCTCGGTGCTGCCGGTCGTCTCGGTGTAGGTGCCCACGGGGCAGTCCTTGCACTCAGCTGGCCGGCCTCGTCCTGGTAGGTGCCCGGGTCGCAGATGTCGCAGGCGCTGTTGCCCTCGTCAGGCACGGCGTAGCCCTTGGGGCACTGCTTGCAGGCGCCGGAGAAGCCCTGCTTGTCGGCGTACTCGCCCGCGGCGCAGGCGGTGCAGTTGAGGTCCGAGATGCCAATCTGGCTGGTGCCGGGGATGCAGGCCGTGCAGGCGGCGGCGCCAGACGCCAGCTTGGTCTCGCGGCCCTTGGGGCACAGGGTGCAGGTGTTGGCAGCGTACATGGAGGGGCGGAAGCGGCGGGCGCCGCACTTGGTGCAGCTGCTGGCGCCGGTGCCGTCAGCCGCAGCACCGCCGGTGGCGTCGGTGATCTGGCCGGATGGGCAGGCCTTGCACGCCTTCTGGCCCTGGCTGGCGGCGAAGTAGGCCTTGGGGCAGGGGGTGCACAGCGCGGTGTTGGGGGTGGCCGAGAACTTGCCGCGAGCGCACTCGGTGCAGGTGGAGGCGCCCTCCTGGGTGGAGCCCGTCTCGTGGCCGGTGGGGCAGGTGCGGCACTTGTTGTCGGTAGCGCCAGGGGGCTTCCAGGTGCCGACCTTGCACTTGGCGCAGGTGGAGGCGCCCTTGCCGTTCACGTTGACAGTGATGGCACCAGGACCGCAGTCAGTGCACTGGTCATTAAACGGCTGGTCAGAGTAGGAGCCGGCGGGGCACTCATTGCAGGTGTGGGAGCCGTCGCCCTTGGCAAAGGTGCCGGGGCCGCTGCGGCAGGGAAGGGGAGCAGAGTGGGGCAGAGTGCTCAGCAGAGAGGCAGCAGATGGGCACTAAATTACGAGCAGGCAAAGGTGGTTGGGGCCGGGCTGCTGATGCTGATGCCCATCTCTACCAAACCAGTCAGCCCAGCCACTCACCATGGGGAGCAGGAGGTGGAGCCCTCCTCCTCTGTGGCATAGCCAGCGTCGCACTCAATGCAAACGTTGGCCTTGACACCAGACCAGCTGCCGGGGGGGCACTTGGTGCACTTGGTGCCGTCGCCGCCGCCGGAGGAGCGGAAGGTGCCCGCGGGGCAATCCTCGCACTTGCTGCCGGCCTTGGTGTTGAAGGTGCCCTGGGGGCACAGCTGGCACTGGGTGTGGGCCAGGTTAGGGGTGGTGCCGGCCAGGCACTCCTGGCATTTGGCTGCGCCTGCAGTGTGGATGGGGGAAGGGAGCGTGGCGGGAGGTTAGCCTGGGCTGGCACATGGGCACACTGGAGACAGGTGTGGCTGGGATTGAGAACAGCTATGGCACAGGCAGCCATGCAGGCCACGCCACCCACCCATTCACTCACCCCTTGAGCTGACGGTGTAAGTGGAGCAGGTGGTGCAGTCAGCGGCGGACAGAGCGCCGATCAGCTCGTTGGCGGTGCCGCCAATGCATGCCACGGCGGCGCCGCTGGCGCACTGGTAGCCGGAGTCGCAGGGGGCGCACTGCTTGCTCACGAAGACGGTGACGGTGGGGCCGTCCTGGGGGTTGGCCTCGCTGGTGGTGCCGGTGGGGCAGGTGGCGGGGGCAAAGGCAGTGAGGACCAGGCTGGCGTCAGTGCAGGACGTGGCGCCGTCGGTGATGGCCAGCGTCTGAGCGCTGAAATCAACCTGCAGGCCAGCCCCGCCCTGGGCAGTCTTGTCCTGATCACGAGAGGCGATAACGTTCAGGCTCTTGTACACACTGCATGGGGGAAGGGGGTTGGGGGAGGCAGGACAGTCGGGACAGGGAAGGGAGGTGAGCAGGCGATGGCTTGGGGAGCAGGGATGGTGGAGGCAGGGCATCCAGTGTTGCAGCCACACTCACCCGTCCATCACGGCCAGGTCGTCTGCCACGGAGCACTTGCTGTCGCCCAGCACAAACACGCGCACTTCGCAGGTTGCATCGGTCTCAATGGCCAGGGTGCGGCCGTCCAGGCTGTCGCACTTGTTGTCGCCGGTGTTGAAGGGGTGGGCCAGGGAGCAGGCCTCCAGGGTGCTGGTGGAGGGCAGGGTGACGATGCGGTAGCCGGGCTTGGGCTGCTCGTCGGGCAGGTCGCCGTTGAAGCCGACCACGCCGTCAATCTCGCCCGCAACCACCTTGGGCACGCCAAAGTAGCAGGCCAGGCAGCCGGTGGAGCCGGTGAAGTAGGCAAAGGACTTGTCTGGGCAGGGCTCGCAGATGGAGCTGCCGGCGGTGGAGCGGTAGGTATCAACAGCGCAGTCGGTGCAGGCGGTGGAGCCCACGTTGGCGGCAACAGAGCCGGCGTCGCAGGTGGTCATGGCGCCTCCGGTACACTCGGCGCCAGCAGGGCAGACGGCGCACACGGCGCCGTCGTCGTAGCGGCCGTCAGCGCAGGTGGCGGAGTTGTCGCAGGCGGTGTTGGCGGCGGCGCAGAGGTCGGTGGAGGCGAGGTTGGGCCAGGAGAAGGCAGTGCCCTCAACTGCGTAAGTGAGGACGCCGGCCACGCCAGACAGAGTGGTCTCCACTGTGGCGCCCTTGAAGGCGGTCTGGAAGGTGGCCGTCTTAGCGGTGGTGGCGGCAAAGGTGGCGTTCTTGAGGGCGCGAGCCAGGGCGCTGCTGATGTCGGCGCCCACCACTGCCTTGCCGTTGAGGGGGGAGGTGGGGCAGGGCTGCAGCAACGGAGAGGTGGGAGGAGGGCAGGGGCTGCCGGTGAGGTGGTGGTGCCGTGCGAGAGGTGAGCACAGGACACAGTGTAGCAGGCGCTGCAAGCACTGCCGCTGCAAGCACCACTGCGCCCCTCACCGTGTTCTTGTACTTGAGTTCGGCGGTGAGGGGTGCGGGGGTGAGGGTGAGGATGCAGGTGGTGGCGTCCACATCGATGGTGAACTGGGGGTAGCAGATGCCGTAGGGGTCGTTCAGGCGAGACGCGGCGGTCAGCACCAGGGTGGCAGACTTGCCCCTGAAGGAGGCATCGCAGCTGCGGCAGGGGCGGGGCGGGGGGAGAGGGTGGCAGAGGGGTGGATCAGTGCTCTGGTATCAATGCATGTGCCCGCAGGCGACTACACTGGGCTGCGCTCTGGACCAGCACTTGCGATGCATGTCCGGCAGGGGCAGGGGAGGCACCGGCTGGGCCTGTCCGGCAGGGGCTGGTCTGGCTGTTGGCCACCGATGGGGTGATGAGGCACATCGCAGCACCATCCGGGTAACTGTGCACCGGCGCGGCATCGCCCATTCATGCACAACTCACCTCTGTGCAGATGCGGGGTGGGCGAGGAGGAGACCCAGCGCCAGCAGCTGGAGGGCCACCGTGCGGGTGGACAGCATGGTGTGGGGGACCTCCTGTATGTGCCTCGGGGGCGAGGTGTGGTGAGGCAAGTGAGGGCGAGAAATGTGGTGCAGGGGGGCGGGAGAGCGGCTTTTGTAGGCCGATCAATCAATCTCGGAGGGTGCCGTGAGGCGGTGTGTTCCGGACCCCAACCCTGGGGGTCCGGAAGCTGCTCCGAGCCAACGACGGCCCGATCGAACTGTGATTTTTGTTTGCGATGTGCAATCAATGCTTTCAGGCCCGACTTGGGGGCAGGGAGAGCGCGAACCTAAGTTTACAAGGCAGATCGCCGGCTTCGCCCTGGCTGCCTGCCCCCTCCATCCCCTGCCGCATTGTACTCCCCGCAACCCCCAGAACATTGAATGGGCGTTTTGCCGGTCCGGCCGGACGTCCCCTGAAATGCATTACGCTGTGAGATGGAACACCGGCAGAGAGCCACACGGCGCGGGCATTGCCGTGGCATGGCCTCAGGCTGCGAGATAGGCGCCGCTGCCGCGGCCGTCGGTCGGTGTTGCCGCTGCCATTGCCGCCACTGCCGCCAAGCTCACGTGCCTGCACCCTTCACTTCTCAATGCCTCAGGTATGTGTTGTTGTCATGTTGCAACATTGCAGTCGCCATGACAGCGGGTGCCAGCGGTCTGGCCATCAGCTTGCCACCGTGGCAGTGGGCACCGCGCCCTCTGCCGCAAACACGCCTCCCTGGCATCGCCAGAAGTGCAGCAGGTGGCCCAGCAGGCGGGTGGAGTAGAAGGCAACGAGCGCCCACCAGACGGCTCCCAAGCCCAGCCCGGCTTGCCGCCCAGCTGCAAAGCAGCGGGCAGGGCTCCAGGATTAGTAGGAGGGAGCACAGAAAAGCAGGAACAGCCCCACAAGCCCCACCAGGCAGGCAGCAAGCCGCCGTCGCCGCCACTGCGAGCGCCCTGCACTCACCGTGCAATGCGGCGAGCGTCACACCCAGGCCGGCCACGTTGGAGCGCGGCAGGTGGGCAAAGCTGCCGCTGCCCACGCTGATACCATCAAACATCATCATCACTGCAGCGGGCCAGCGGCGTGTACAATCGCATAGGGTGTGTGTGGCAGGGTGTTCGCGAAGTGTGCGTCCTGTGTGGGCGCCTGCCGGCGCTTGGTTCTTTGGTGCAGCACGGCACAAGGCAGCGGAACAAGCCCGCCACACAAGTCAACGCCCCGGCGAGGCATTCACCGCCAGGTTTCTGCCCCGGGCAGCACAAGCGGCGGCCTGGGCAGCGCACCCGAACACACAGAGATGGCCGCCATGGCGACAGGCGCCAGCTGGCGTACCGCCGCCTGTACCGCAACGTCTGTGGTGAACATCCAGCCGCGCCCAGCGGACAGCGCGCCCACCGCCGCCGCCAGCCCCAGGCCCAGCACTGCGCCGCTACTGAGAGGAGGAAAGCGGGGCAGGCGAGGGCCGGTGGAGGGAGCATGCACGGCAGTGGCTGGTCTGCGCTGTGCATGCACGGCTGGCTATCGCCTCGCTGGCGGCAGGGCAGGGTGCATGCGGGCCTGCCCCCTGCCCTGCACCCCGCACCCCACCCACCGCAGCAGCAGCCACGCCCAGTAGGCCGCCCGTTGCGGGCGCCCCTTGTCGCGGGCCAGCATGCTCTGTGCTGCCAGGCTGAGAGGCTCTGGAAAGTAAGCCAGGAACCAGAAGGACTGTAGCAGGGGTGGGTGGGGAGCGTGGAGGGAATGGTCAAGGGGCAGTTGAGGTGGCCAGCCGATAGCAGGGGTGGGTGTGGAGGCCCAGGCAGAAGGGCATGCCCAGCGCCAGCATGCGGGTCGCCGAGGCGGGACCGGCTGCTGCACCGCATCGCCAGCGGCTGAGGTGGTGAACCGAGGCGAGGCGCGCAGCTGCTTGCCTGCATGGCGACCTGGTGGGCGGCGGTAGCGAGGGTGCCCAGCTGCGTGGCCGCCGCCGTCATGCTGCACGCAAGCAAACGCAGGGGTGCTGCTCGGCGGCAGGCTGCCACCGGGGAGTGCCAGCATGGCACCCCAGCGGCACGCAGCCACAACGCATTGCTGCAAAGCGGCAACGTTCATAGCAAGCAGCCGCCCGCCGCCTTGCCTAAAGTAGGCGGCCATTCCGAAGATTGTGCGGGTGAAGAGGGTGACCGCGATGACCTGGAACTCCCGCATCTGGCCCGCCCTGGGCAGGCCCTGCAGCACAGAAGGCAGCGGGGCGCAGCGCGCGGCTGGCAGTCGCTGCTGGCAGCGCCCACCTCCTGAGGGGCGAAGCAGCGGGGCAGGAAGCATCCCGCGAGGCACCAGGCATGCCACGGCAGCCAGGTCGGGCAGCAGCAGCTGGCCGGTACGGTCCACTGTTGGCAGCAGGACCTCACCGTCCAGCGCAGGCGGATGCTGTCGGGCTGGCTGCCATGCCTCCACAGGTACCAGATGAAATAGGCGGCGCCGAGGTACTGCAGGCAGGAAGCTGCCAGGAAGGTTGGGGTGTGCACGCCGGCTGCTGTGCACAGAGGCAAGGCAGGGGGAGAAGCAGGCATGAGCCCGCAGCCTGCGCCAGCCCACCTGTGTTGCCGCCGTGGCGGCCGCCGCGCCCACCACGCCCATGCCGCGGCACGAGATGAGATAAATGTCGCCCGCTGCAGGCCGAGGGCAAAGGCAAGTCCAGCGGGCACACAGCTGCAGAGAGCTCATGCAAATTGCTGCATGCCAGCAGCAGCATCGACCGCGAGCATGCCGATCGCTGTGCCAGCACTGGGCAGCTCAGGATCCACGCCTCAAGCATGCAAAACAGAGGCTGGTGCCCTGCAAAAGAGGCGCTCGGCTCCGTCCCTGCCTGTGTTGAGCAGCGCCACCGCCACCAGCACTTTGAAGGGCGTCCAGGCGTCCTGCTGGCCCAGGCAGGCGCCCTGGGACACAGCCGTGGCCAGCACCGCCGGCGCGGCCAGCACCCTGCGGGGCGGGAAGGCGGCGCGGCGAGGGAGGGAGCGGCGCGGCGCGCGGCAGGGATGGCGCTTGAGCAGTGTGGCTCCGCGGCAGTTGAGGTGTGCCCAAATCTGCCCTAGTGTATATACAAGGGACTGGCCTCCCTCCAGCGGCAGGCAGCACCCCCTGGAATGCCAGCCTGCATGCAGGTCACCTGATGGGCAAGTACGGTACTGCCATCACCTGATGGAAAGGTACTGCCAGGCGGGCACCAGCAGCTCGGGCGCCGTGCCCATGGCGGCGAAGAAGGTGCGGCCGCCGGCCAGCAGCGCCGCCGCCGCCAGCAGGCCGCAGGCGACGGCCAGCTGCAGCGAGTTGCACAGCGTGCGCTCTGCAGCCTCTCGCCGCGCCAGCCTGCGCAGCGGCCGGGGGATGTGGCCAGGCGCGCGTGGCCTGCAGCCTGGCACCGCCAGGCAAGCAAGCACGGCATCGCAAATCCCTGCCGCCGTCCCGCTGTACTGCGGCCGGCGGTACCATGCATCCAGCTGGCGCAGCGCACAGCGCCCCTGTGTCTCACCGCGTTCTGCTATCCAGGCCCGCGGTTTTCAGCGAGTTGCTGGCAATCAGGTTGGTGGTGCCCACGCCTAAAAAGGCAAACAGCTGCAACCGGCAACAAAGGGGCAAGCAGGGGTGGCAAGGGTGGGCTCAGATTCCGGCCCCGCGCCAGGCGCCTGTGCTGGCCTGTGCCCGTGCATGCTCAGTCCCACCCAGCTGGCTTCCTTCCCCCGGGCAGGGACACATTTTCTTTAAAGCTGGCCTGCCGCGCTTGCCTGAAAGCAGAAGTTGAATACTGCGGTGTTGGGGCCCAGCGCGGCCAGCTGCAGGGAGGAAACACGCCCCAGGCAGGCTGCAGGGGGCAGGGCAGGGCAGCGCACCCCCGCGGCGTCAGTTGGGCGGGGCCCGCGCCGAGGCAGCAGAGAAAGTTCTCACCCATAGCCTGCTGCCAGGGGTGTCTGCAGGGACCGCATGCCTGGCCCCATGCTGGCCTCCCATCCCACCACGGGGCGCCAGTGCAAGCATGCCGCATGCGCCTATGGGCACACCGCCATTGTGGCGGCTGCGGCGGGAGGCGGCGGCGTGCGCGTGCGGCGCCGGCAGCCTGACAGCTGGCTGGCGCTCACCTGTGTCGATGAGTGACATGAGGGGGTCTGCAAGGACCATGCCCAGGGCTGGTACCGCAAAGGCAAGCATTTCCGCCACCTCCCTGCTCTGCAGCAGGCTGCCGCCGCCGCCTGCGGCTGCGGCGGCGCTGTCTGCAGCCGCTGCGGCCGCGCCGCTGCCAGCCGCGCCGTCGGCGGCGGCCTCCTCCGCCTCGGCTGCCACCAGGGAGGCTGCCGCGGCGGCTGTGGTTCCCTCTGCACTTGCGAGGCATGCAGGGGACGCAGCGCTGGCAGCGGCGGCACCTTCCGAAGCGCCAGCACAGTCAGCGCCGCTATCGGCTGGCGCCACCCCAGCTGGCGAGAAGTCAGGGAGGCTGGCAGACGCGCCTCTGCGCCCCCTCTTCTGCCTGTGAAGCCCAAGAGCGGGGTGCTGCGGCGGCTGCTGCAGGTGCCGCTGCCGCTGCTGGCGAGCCGCCGCTGCCGCCGCCGCTGCCGCCGCCGCCGCCTGCCTTACGCCTCGCTGGATGGCCGACTGATGCGCGCATGGCATAGATGCTTGAGATAGGCCCTGTCCAGCGGCCAGAATGCTGCCAGGGGGCTGCATTCTGTCTGGGTTGGGGTCGGGGCAAGGTCCGCTCTGGGGAGGATTAGAGCGACGAATTCGCTGGCGCTGACCTCGTCATGCGTGATGGAATGATTGATCGGGCCGCAGGAGGCCTCAGCAAAGAGAACCGAAACAAAGAAAGGGGGGAGCTCTACAGCTCACCTCCTCCTGCACGCCCGTCCTCACACAAACCCTGCGTTTGAGCCCAACATCGCGAGACATCGAGCACAAAGAAGGGTGTACAGTGCGCCAGTAGCGGGAACAGAGCCCTTGTGAACTGCGGCGGGCCCCGATCGACAGCACCCTCACTCTTCAAGCACGCACAACTGCAGCCGGCATGTCGTCTGAGGGCGGCGGGTATGGCGGGTGAGTGCTACCCGCCTCGCCCAGTGCATGGCGGCGGCCTGCCGCGCCTACCCGCTGGCCTGGAGCACCAGAACGCGCGGCCCGCAGCCCTGCGACACCCCTCCCGCCGCGCCGCTCGGGCCCGGACTGCAGGCGGCGGCGGCGGGGCGGCCGCGGGCGCGGCCGCGGCGGCGGCGGTCGTGGCGGCTACTTCCAGCACGATGACCGCGGCGACGACGGCTACGGAGCGGCCGGGGATGCAGGGCAGGAGGATGTCTTCGAGGCAGGGGACCCTGCCAACTACTCGGGAGGCAACAACATCACCGTGCGCATAAGCGCCACCCACCGCGGGCCCCGCGAAGTCAGCGACACCACAGGTGCGCTGCCGAGGGCAGCCAGCACCGGCGATCTGCTGGCGCCTGCGCAGGGCTGGAGCGCGGGCCCGGGCGCCGCAAGGGCCCGGGGCACGGGCGGGCTCGCCAGCGGCCCGCCAGCAGCCGCGCCCGGCTCTGCCGAGCGCGGGTGCCACCCAGCAGCTGCTTGCCGGCTCACCTGGCTGCAGCCTGCGCTCTGTCTGCCGCTCGCGCCTCCCCCGCCACCCATCGGCGCCTGCCCTGCGCCGTGCCCGTCGCGTGCAGGCGGCAAGAGCCAGCTGCTTGTGTCTGTCAACAGCGGCGGCGGCGGCAAGGGCGACAAGCGGGTGGTGGTCGTGTCAGGTGCGCTGCAGCTGCTTGCGGCGTCAGGTGTGCAGCATACCCCACCTGGCTGCTCCTTCCTTCGGGCGGGACAGCAAGGCCTAGCGCTACGGCTGCGCTGGGCCGGCCCTGCCCGCCGCTGGCCGGCCCTGCGCACCACCACCACCACCACCACCACATGATCGATGTACCGTCCGTACTGCATGTATGTACCGCATGTACCGCAGGCAAGGAGGGGTGGGAGTACCGCGACCCGGAGGGCCGCCTGCAGGGCCCGTACCGCCCCACACAAATCATCAAGTGGTGAGTGGGCAGGCCTCCCTCAGCCGGGGCGCTGCCAGGAGGCCCAAGGGGCCAGGGAGCGGCGAGGTGGAGGGAGAGGAGTGGGCGAGCAGAGCGGCGGTGGGCGAGGTGTGGCGGCAGTCGCGGGGGATGGGGCGGCCATCGCGTGGCGCCTGAGGTGCAGCACCTGCCCTTAACCACCACCACCACCACCGCAACCACCACCACCGCAGCCGCCACCGCCGCTGCCACCGTCACCACCGCTGCCGCCACCGCCGCTGCCACCACCACCACCGCTGCATGCACATGAACTGTGTACATACACACGCCACTTCCCTTCACCCCCGCCACACCCTGCAGGCTCAACCAGCAATACTTTGACGGCAGCCTGCTGGTGCGCAAGGTGTCCCAGCACGGCAGCGGCCACTGGAGCCGGCTGGACGCGGTGCTCAAGGACGTGCAGCGGGAGGCGGCGCTGACGGGCGCCGCCGCCGGCGAGGCGCCGCCGCCCAGCCACGCGCCGCCGCCACCGCCCGCGGGCCGCGGCGGCGCGGGCCGCGGCGGCCGCGGCGGCACCGTGGCGGTCACCAGCCCACGCGGCGCGGGCAGCCGCGCCGGCGTGGACGTGAGTGGGTATGTGGTGACGGCGCCGCGGCCGCCGCGGAGGCACGATGCCCCGGCGCCAGACCTCTCTCACTTTGACGGCACCGAGCTCGGCGGCGGCTTCGCCGGCTACGGAGAAGGGCGCGGGCGTGGGCGGGGCCGCGGCGGCCGTGGCGGCGGTGACGACTACGGCGGCGGCGGCGGCAGGGAGGGGCGCGTCGGGCGGGGCGGGCGCGGCGGGCGGGGAGGCAGGGAGGGGCGCGG